ATAGAAGATCTTGTGGTAGCTCACAGTGGAAAAAAAAATGTGACAATGAATATATGTATGTTCATGTCTAACTGAAAACTGTGCTCTACACTGGAATTTGACGTAACATTGTAAAATGACTATAACTCAATAAAAAAGGTAAAAAACTTACAGTATGTATATTTTAAATTTATGTTAATGTGCTACTAACTGAAAGAGGAACAAGAGTTATCAAGGATTATTTTCATTGTTTTTACTTATTACTCACATTACAAGCTATTTCCTATTGCTTGGATATTTTAGGTTAAGCATTTGGAGTTGCTGATTCTAGAGAGAAAAGAGACTTTCACATTTTTCTACTATAGCTCAATTATTTGAGAAATCTGAGACTTCTACAGCTTGTGAGTCACTCAGTCAAATAACTAGTTAGTGATATTACTACTGTTAAAATTGGCTGTCGGAAAACAGTTGTTTTTATTTTTGCCAAGTACAATATTACCCTGAGTCCTAGATGGATTTGAATTTTAGTTTTTTAAATTAGTTAATCCAGAGAGCATAATATATGTAATAAAACACCTTACTATATACAAAATAGTTAAACAACAAGGACCTACTACATAGCACAGAGAACTATATTCAACTTCTTGTAATGAGCTGTAATGGAAAAGAATCTTAAAAATATGTATATGTATAACTGAATTGTCTGGCTGTACACATGAAACTAGCATTGTAAATTGATGACATTTTGATAAATATAAGAATTAAAAAAATAAAATAAAGGGCTACCAAAAAAAAATAAGTACCATGTTCTCTTAAGAGCACCCGGCTTGACAACTAAAACTTGAGCAATATGGTTAAATTAACCTTTATATTTCTCCCCATCAAATTAATTAAAACGTAGTACAAATTAAAGCACATTTAATTTCTCTATAGATATCCAGTGTTAACAATTTCATATATATCCTTCTAAACCTCTATGTATTTGAATATTTAATTTTATAAAAACAGTATCATACAGTAGAGGCTATTTTGAATTTTGACTTTTAACGATATATTATAATACCTTGTCTTAATATGCAGTTATTTATTTTATTTTACTTGTATATATATTTTGAAGTACAGTTTATAATGTATCAATTTCTGGTGCACAGCACAATGCTTCAGTCATACATGGACATATATGTATTCGTTTCATATTCTTTTTGACCGTAAGTTACTATAAGATACTCAATATAGTTCCCTGTGCTATACAGTATAATCTTGTTGTTTATCTATTTCGTATATGTTAATATCTGCAAATCTCGAAATAAATACTGCAATGTCATTCTTGTCTATATTTCTTTGTCCACTTGTGCTAAGTATTTCACATGATGGATTTCTAGAAAAGCTGTAATGCTGATATTACTACATCCCTTTTGAGTTAATTGATCTGGAACAGAAATTTGAACACATCTTGAGGATTAAATAGAACCATCTTGTTTGATCTATCTGACAAAGGATGACTATAGTTCTAATATTATGGTCTCAGTTCTGAGGTAGACTTTTTATGAAAATTTAAGGCCCATTCAACAAAATGCTGAAGATGAAACTAACATCTCTTAAAAATATCTCACTTGCTCCCAGGATGCTAAGGCCAGAACTCCATGAAAATTAATCCACGGAGCTTTGGCAGCAAGTCGAGAGAGAGCTGTCAATGCAAATGCCCAGCGTGCCCGGCCCTGTGGTCTCAAGACCACGTGGAGAGCAGAGGCTTTCAGTTATCTGACCTCCCTCCTGCCCTGGAAATGCATCAGTGCCCGTCACGGCCCTGGAGGTGAAGGCAGGGCAGCTCAGAACTCCATCTAGCAAACGACACTCAACACAGCGCCGGCTTGCCTCTCAGGGACTGGAGCAGCGAGGCTTTGCTTGCGTTCACTGTTCTCTGAAGTTTTTCCTTTTCTCATTTTCTAATTGACACAATTACATAGTTCATATTTAATGAGCTCTTTGCAGAGAAGATACAATTCAAAGCCAAAAACGTTCATTTCTCTTTTAGTGGATCCATTATTATAGATTAATAATGAAACATAGTATCTGAACCAGATCTATTGTTGTTAACAGGACCCTCGGACTTCATGGTCCCAAGTGTGACCCCTTCCTCTGCCCCAGCACCAAATTAGCTACAATAGATGATCACATGCAACACATTTTTTAGAGAAGTTCAACCATAGTTTATCTCCTCTGCTTGAACTATCACAAAGAAACTAAGTGGTTAAATTTTGTCCAAGGCAAAATACTTATTATGAGTCATCAGAATATACTGTCTAGTAAGGAACATCCTTCGTTATTTGTCATAGATGGAAAGACATTGCTTATTTGGTCATTTTGGGAGTACATCTAGCAGGACTGGACCAGCTTCTCAGAGAAATCCAGACCTGATCCTGTAGACTGTGGGCAGAGATTTTCCAGTGGTCAGCCACATGACTGCTTTCTCTTTTTCATTTGTCACCTTCTACACACACATGTGACACACACACATATATAAAAATACAACTTATATTTAAGTGTTCATAAAAATATTCTTGATTAACTTGTAGGACAGTTATACCCTGAGTTCTGCTTAAACATAGTTCTTTGCTCTATTCTAATTCTGATAAAGCTTTCACTTTACCCAAGATTAGCTTTGAGGCAAATCACTATATTGTGGACCCTGCAAACATTGTTTTGTTTATGCTCAATTTTATAATGGAAATGAATATCCAATTGAATGGAGTCTGCAGTTTTATGTTCAGGTTTTATTTTACAGACATTTTGTGGTTCTGCACTGGTTGAGTTCTGGCTGTGTAAGAATTGTATAGGGTGGCTCAGATTTTGTGGGGCACAGAGCACAACTATCATCTGCTTAGGTTTCTCTCCCTTAAGAATTCTGAAGGTGCTGTATGCGGAGACAGGGCAAGAGTTTGCTGGTATGTAGCTACCTGCTTCTTGATCCAAGATATGTCTTAGCTTTTTTAAAGTAAGAAGTTGTAGATTTTGTAAGAGAGTAATACCATAAACACCATAGCCATCTTGTCAGCTTAGTCTTTTTTTCATAAGCAATAATTTGACCTTAATATTTTACCAACACATAGCACATGACATGAAATGAAATCAGAAAGTCAAATTGTTTTATTTGCCATTTAACTTTTCTTTAGATCAGCTGAATGAAATAGGATTATGGAGACCTAAATAAAATTTCCTTTTCCTTAAAACTAAACCCTTGCTTTCAGAAAGAAAGTGCAAGGGCACACATTCTCTCTACAGGCATTTTTTCTGCCCCACTTGAAAATTTAAGCCAATTACTCAGTAAGAAATTTTGTTCAAATAAAATAGTGTGTGGAGGAGTTGGAGCATTGTTAAGGGCAGCATAAAGAGATGTGATTTGTCCTATTTTCAAAATACGGTAAAAGTAAGTCTACAGTTCTCTTCCTGTGCGGGGAAAACCCGGTTCTTTCCTCCTGTGTCTCTCGTGTGTCTCCTTTACTCCTCACTCTGAAAACTTCTCTTCTGGTACTTCTGGTCAC